CAGCGGCGTATCGATGGCTATTGATCTTTTGGACACCAGTCTTGGCTTCTTGGCGCTAGCATTAGTTTCTTTCAGCAACCCACATTTATTCGCAGCATCTGTATGTTTTGTGCGGAAATGACGGATAAAATTACCGACATCCATAGTTATTTGGACGTAGGACATCCGCTGCTCTCTTCAATATGACAGATACCTTTGTTCCCTTCCCGATGAATAAACGATAATGCAATTTCCTGGAGTGGGTGCTTGTTGTTATCGCGTCGTTGTTGTCCTTTTTTAGATGATGGACCTGCTTCTTCCATTATTTCGAATGCAAAATCAAACTCGTCTTTCTCAATTATAAAATTTCACCATCAGTGATGAATATCAACTTTGCTTGTCTGATTATCACTTCAAACCATTGACAGTAAGAAATATCAATGATTGTAGGCTTTTGAAATTCATTAAATGAATTATTCATTCAATAAGGTAAACAAAATTCATGTATCATTGATATGACAGAAATCTCGCGTCACTTTTCGAATAGACCAATGTAACAAATGTAAACAAATCGAGTTAAGCGATACAAGCTATTGCTCTTCTATCATTGTATGTGATACAAAAACACCCATCCAAATTTACTTTCATTTATTTAAGAAAATCATCGATCACAAATTGTCCAATGTACAGTTTGAAATGATGGGTATATGATTGTTACTTCGGTCATTCGGACTGCCTAACATGATTGGTGCTCATTTTCCAAAGGCGGGGCCAATCTAAAGTTAAGTACTATACTCTGAAATCTGTGAAAGGGAATCTAGTATCATGTAGACAAAACGTCCAATGTAACACTCATTGATTATGTCATTGAGAAAAATCGTCCAATGTAACATGTCCGATGTACAACTCGACTTGTCAAAACGTCCTATGTGGTTTTTTCAATGTTGTAGCATGAAATTCAAAGTAAAATTGTGATTTTACCGTTTCTTCTGAATTTTCAACGTTATTATACACTGACTACATTAAAAATAGTATTGCAAAATGTATTGTTTTTAAACAGTTAAAATAATAATCTGTTGAACTTCAACTTCGATTTTCTCAAAATGGTGGATATGTTACATTGGTCTATTTGAAAAGTGACGCGAGAAATGATGTTGTGTTTCAACAGAAGAGTCATCCCACACTGAGAAAAGAATAATTCGACAGTGAGCATGCATAAGGCCGTTCGCAATGCTGTTGTATTTTATAAGGACTGTTTCAATTTGAAACTAGAACAGAAACGCACCTCTCGCAATGCTGAGTTGCAGTTTCATTATTCGAGCACTATTTTGCACCAGATTTGCAACTGCTCGACTATTCTGTTTTATTTCTGAGCGAGTTTGAAACACGATTGGAACTCTGTTTCAAATTTCTTTGGATGTGTTAGAGATGTTTCGAGAGCTTCACAAATAAAAACGGAGAATTTCATAGAGAACAGTTTCAAATTATAGAATTGACGAGTAGTTTAAAACAATTTTGAAACTCAGCATTGCGAACGGCCTAAGGGCCTATACGCGATGATCGATTCTCTTCATCGATTTTCTCTTTGCATTGCTACAGCTAAGCGAAACAATTTTGTAGAATTTATTCAATGTAGAGTTGTAACAGGTTGCATTGGCTATCAAAAGCAACAGCAAACGCACCGACAAACGTTAAATCTAGCGAGTTATTAACAAAAGAGAAAATCGATTAAGAGAATCGATCATCGCGTATACGCCCTTATGAATGCTCACTGTCGAATTCCTCCTTTCGTGAATAAATAACGATAATCTATAAGGCACTGCATCCCACCAAGATGAAGATGAATATTGATATTGACAACAGCACAACTTCTAGCCACGAATGAACAAAAACAAAATGTTGGCTTCGATACTCAGAGGTTGCCTTGATCAAGAGAATGTGTTTATGTCAAAATTCAAATTCATGCAAGTAGTTGGTCTATCTGTTAAGGTTGTCTTAATTTTCAGCTAAGATGAGTGTAGAAGGAATGATTTTTATCAGCACTGGTCCTTACTTCTCAAAAACTGCGAACTTTTACTTCACCGGTGGGCAAAAGTTCGTTTTGAACACTCTTCCGAAAACAATGTTCTAGCTATGAATGTACTGAACATGCTCTGTATGTAAGAAAATTTTCTAAACCTTGTATAAGGGATCCTGTGTATGAAATTAACTAGCTTAAAGTTTTGAGTAATTTAATTTTTTTTTATATCTTTATTAAGGAGACTTTCAGCCGTTGGCTGGCTCGTCTCCGAATACCCCAGAGGGGGGTATTCCTAGGGGAAAAGGGGGTTTACAGAGTTTTTAGAATGTACAGAGTTTTGGTTTTTGAAACTTATGTTTCCTGTCTCAGCTAGCTGTCAAATTTTCATTTCAAAGGCTGTCTAAAGGACCCCGGTAGAGCCTCACCGGCAGAGGCTGCCAGGTGAACCTGGCAGCTGCTACCGGCAGGGGTTGCCGGGCCTGCTATCAAAATAGTATTTTTCGTGTTATAGTTACTAAATTCAGGACCCCGGTAGAGCCCCACCGGCAGGGTTGCCGGGCCTGCTATCAATATCGTATTTTAAATATTTTTGTAGATTCCTGCTTCCTTCGTAAAGCAGATGAGTTGGATTTCCGCTACCGGGTCGTTTTGGAGGACGTCCCGAATGTTGTCGGCCAGACCGTACAACTCCCGTGATCCGTGGAAACACGGGCAGTTGATAAGGATGTGCTCAACCGTCATCGTTGTTCGGCACGCGTCGCATCTCCTCCGGAAGCCTCCACCGCTGCTGCTTCCCATGTTGTGAGTAATCCGGGTGTGACCGGTTCGAAGTCTGGAGAGTATTCTCTGTTCCGCGTAACTTTTGGTGTCCGTCCATGGAGCCGTTTCGCCTTTGACCTTTCTAATGAAAAGCTCTTGGTTGCTGTTCCATTCGTTGCCCCATGCTGACCTGATGGTAGATTTTATCCAGACTTTCAGGTCTTGTCTGGGGACCGACTTGTGGGCAAGACGGCCGCTTCGTCCGGTGGCCGCGAGGTAGTCGGCTTCAATGTTACCGGCGATTCCGCCGTGGCCCGGTATCCACATGAAGGTGGGGCCGGGCTGTGTGTGCTTCTGGATGGCCTGAATCCACGGGTGGCGTGCAGTGGAAGATTCCAATGCAGCCAGAGCGCTGGCGGAGTCCGTGAGTATGCATAGAGGGGAGGAGGATGGTAGGGAGGCCGCGTAATGTAGGGCTGCTGCTTCTGCTGAGAAAACCGAGCATTGGTCCGGAAGTTTCCAGAAATGGGATGTTCGGCCATCAGTTACTCCAAAACCTACTCGGCCCCTAGCCTTCGATCCGTCGGTGTATCGGAGTTGGTGGTTATGGTACATCGTTCTCAGTCGCTCGGTGAGGCAGGTTCTCATTTCCGCCGAGTTGTCCCCTGCTCTGAATCGGTTGGCCATGGTTCTATCTGATCGGATGGGGGAGGCATCCCACTCCCTGGCTCCGACCCAGTGGAGTTTAGACACCGGAGGGAGCTCCTGGTGGGCGGTCTCTTGGAGAATTCGTTTCCCCTCCGAGAGGAGATAGAAATCTCCGTCTCCGCTGAGTTGCTCGTCGAGTCCCACGGCTCTCGTACAAACCGACTCCGCAATGAAAAACCGGAACGGTAGTGTTCCGGTCTCAATGCATGCGGCGTCGGCTGGTGTTGATGGCAGTAGACCGGCTGCAATCCGAGTAGCCTGGTTGTATATCGGTGCAAGACGGGAGATGATGGAGTCGCTGGACGCGCATAGAAGTTCGATTCCATATGTCAGTCGGCTGTGGACGATGGATCTGGCGGTGTTCATCACAATACCTCGGTTGTTCACCTTGTGTGGACCGGATAGGGAGCGAAGGTTGTTTAGTCTTGTTCGACAGCTGGCCTTGACCTCGTTGAGGTGGGGGCCGAACCGGAAGTTTCGGTCAATCGTGACTCCTAGTATGGAGATGGATTTCCTCCTGGGAATTGCCTGCTTGTCGATCCTAATCGGGGTCGGTAGTGGCCGGTGACCATGCCGGCAGACATGGAAAACCGAGCTTTTCTCGGCTGATATCGCAAAGCCTGTCTTGGCGGCCCATCTACCAACCGCAGAGACCGCCGCCTGCAATTTTACCTTCATTGCTTTTAGAGTTTTCCCGACTACTAGGAGCAAGATGTCGTCCGCATATGAGTAATTTTAATTTATTCAACTAATGTTGAACTTTTGCCCGCCTTACTCTATTGGGAAATTTTACAGGTCCAAATGTTACAAGTAGATGGTCCTGAGAGTGTACCCTCGGCCTTCTGGGGACTGAGCCATAGAACCCGTCTTTGATGTCTTACAAAATAATGTTCACAATTGAAAACAAACGACAACGACCATAAACAGTGAATAATTCATAAATATTCCATCCATACACCACTTTTGCTGCATTCGAATTCATCGGTACCCACTTCAACACACTCTCGAATTCAACAAACACGTTCTAAGCGTGTGAAAAATGTAAATGACAAAACACTTTCTCCCAGCGCGCCGAATCCTTCCATACCGGCAACATTTCTTCATTCATACATCGCCGAAGGTAGCGTCTTTCTTTAATGAAATTCTCAGAAAATCTCATCATCACCCAGCAGCCGATTTTACTGCAAGCCTCAGCCACACCGTGCTATATACCAGCTATGGAGAAAAGCCGGCATCGATTGCCATCAACAGTAAAGCTTCGATGATGATGATGCTGATGATGACGATTGCAATACGAAAACAGCAAAGCCCATGATCGGCATCACCCCCTTTCGTGATGCGAGATGTCCCTCATTCGTTCCGAAACGAACAGCCGACGAAGACGCGCCCGGCGCCAGGGACGCGCGCAAAAGCTTTCAACGACGAACGACGAGAGTGGAAATTTCTCGAGCGAAAGCTCCTCGTCACAGTGCCTGGTCCAAGGGTGAGCATTTTCCGAAAACAGTTCTTCGCAGACTCCAGCGGGAAGCTGGCGCGAAATGACGCGGCTTCTATTGTAACCAACCATCGTCGGTCGTCGCGGTTGGCGTTTTACTTTTTGCATTAACACCCAGCGGGTGGTTGGCGGTAGGGTAGAGTCGTCATCGTTCGTTCGTTTGGTCGGTGGGTGAATAAAAGTTTTATTACGTCGTAGTGATGCTGTTGAACCATCTCCGGCGGGAGGTTGTTGTTATCGGTGCGCTGCCGGGTCTTTACTGTTTCTCCGTCGTGTAGCTGCTAGGAATTTCCGGTCCGTTCTCGTAAAAGTGCCGTGGGGAAATACAGAGCTGTAAAAAGTATGCAAATTTTAAGAGGACTTCTTTCCTTCCGTCATTGCATCTCGTGACGATTATTTCTAGTACCAGCAGCACAAAGCTCTTTAAAGGTTCAAGTGCATTCGTAGGATAGGTGGTTTGTGGCGTGTGCTTTGAAGTGACACGCCAACGCGACCAGTCCGCTGTTGGGATGGGATGTCATGTGAGTGGGAGGAAAGGCTAGACCGGGAAGTGCTGCTTGGGGCGGGAGATGAGCGAGACATCCTTAGAAAATAAAGAAAATGTATGTGAAAATTTGATGTACGGTAAGTGAGCCAGTTTTTGGCCCTAGTGGTCCTCTAATTGACCATATCTTGATTTTCAGTTTAATTCATTCTTTACCAAAGTCTGGTCAACTTAGAATCCGGACACATAAAACCAGGTGTTCCTCGAGGTTTATTGGACGTACGAAAAATTAATTTTAGTCAAAATGAAGGTATTTTATTGTACTTTCATAAAAAAAAAATGAAAAATTACTCCGACGGCGTTTGGATGCACTCACGGACTTTCTTTGGAATTACCGCCATCATCTACCGCACACTGGACTGGTCAACCTCAGCGGCCAATTTTTCCAACATGGAGCCATCAGTGCTGCGTCCTGAGTCGTCTTTCCAGTTTTTCTATAGCTTCCGCTTGATAATTGCCCAAAACTTTTCGATTTGGGTGGAATTGCGAACAGTTGGGTGGATTAATATCCTTGGCAACAAAATCCACCTTATTGTCACGGTACCACTGTAGCACCTTTTAGCTATAGTGGAAGCTTGCGAAATCTGGTCAGGACCATTCATTGTGAGCCTTTTGTTGATGATGAAAAGCTTGGTTTTGGGTCCGCAGCTGTAAATCCCTTGCAAGGTCATCAGTTTCCAGGCGAATTTATCGGCGAAAACAAACTTGAATTTGCTGGGAACATCACCCCGTGCTGCGGCCAGATAAAACTTTTGTCCGGGAACCTGCCTGAAATCCATCTTTTATATTTATTATTTATTTATTTATTTATTTATTCATCTGACTTTTTGTCGTCTTAATGAATGTGATGGGGAAAAACCAATTTAAATGGCGTAAAAACCCCATATCTTTTCACAATACAGTACAAACATTACAAAACAAGCACATCCGTGAACATAACATAAAGTGAACCTTCAAATATCAACTGTAGTTAAAAAACATAAAAAAATTATAATTCTATCAGCTCCATTGGACATCCATCATCCGAAGCAATCCTCGTCGGCAGTGGTGAATCTTTCACAATAACAAATCTTACTCGATCCATTAATGCAATTCAGTCAGTCTACGCTTAAATGTTGCCACAGTAGAGTTGAAGTCGAAGAGGATGTAGACTTTATTGAACCTAGTCGACATAAAGCGGACAGGATCATGAAGGCCGTACAAGGATTTGCGGGGCTCAAGCAGCAAAAAGTTTCGTTGGCGAAGTAATCGTTCAGGAACGTAAAGATTAAGTTGACCTAGTAACTCTGGTGCGTCAGTTTCTCCTATGAGAAGTTTAGCTACAAACACCGCTTGGGCAACATTCCGTCTCTGCTCAAGCGTGTGCAGTCCCAATAATCTGCATCGATCTCCATATTGTGGTAAGTTTAACGGATCTCGCCACGGAAGGCGTCGTAGGGCATATCTCACAAATTTTCTCTGAATTGCTTCGATCCTACCAGTCCAGGTGGACTGGTACGAGCACCATACTACAGAGTTGGATTCCAGAATTGATCGCACCAGTGCGCAGTACAGAGACCGGAGGCAGAGAGGATAAATAGGTAAATTCGCAGGATATTTTGAACATAAATCCCAGCTGTCGGTTGGCTCTACAGATAATATCATTTTAGTGCGATCGGAAGGTCAGCGCTGAATCCAGGATGACACCAAGATCTCGAACCTGAAGTCAACGCTCAAGGGACTGACCATTAATTGAATAATCATACGTAATCGGGTTGAGCTTGCGATGAAACGATATAACGTTACATTTGTGGATGCTCAACGTCAGCATGTTCCGGGTGCACCAATAAGCAAAACTATTCAGCAGCAGTTGTAGAGCATAGCAGTCCTCGAAACCTTTAATTATCATGTATATTTTGACGTCATCAGCGTAAAACACACGGCAGCCAGATGGTAGTACGAGAGAAAGCTCGTTGATGAAGAGTGTGAATAACAAAGGACCCAGGTTGCTACCCTGTGGCACGCCAGATAAGTTTGAAAATTGTTCCGAAGATTCAAATCCGATATTAACGGTGAGGCTACGATCCGTAAGGTATGATCCAAACCAGCTAACAAGATGCGCAGAGACACCAATTCTTCCTAGACGTTTCAGTAATATTCCGTGGTCAACTCTATCGAAAGCTGATTTCAAATCAGTATATGCAAAGTGTCGTAAGAGGGAAAATCAACTCTTCGCCGCATTTTTTCAGGATGCATGACGATATGCCATCTGGACTGGACACAGACTATTTCAATTTGTTTATTGCGGAGTCCACCTGATTCGACGTGATCGCAAAGCTTCTCAGAGAACAGACTCCACTAGGTTTATCTCTGTACAAGCTTCTGTGATTTGACGTGCAGACGACTTAGAATCATTAAATGCTCTTCTAAAGTGAGTGGCAAACAAATTGCACTTTTCCAAAGCGGAGGTGGCGACTTTATCGCCCAGAAACATCCGGATAACCCATTCTCCTTCCGTTTAGAGTCGACAAATTTCCAAAAATGTCGTGGGTGTCTGCGGTTATACGTGCGATAATTGTTACTAGCACGTGCGAAATGTTGCTTGGAAAAAGGACAACGAGACTGGCAGTAGGTTCGGAGTGCTTTGGATCTTAGACGTTTGAGTCGTCGTAAATGTATATTTCCCCAAGGTGGTTTCGAAGATGGCCAAGGTGGTTTCGAAGATCAACCAAGTAACTCTTCAACACACTGGTGAAGTACTCTACAGCAATGTCGATATCTTCAGCGTATATCTTGACATACGTTTCGTCGTCCTTGAGAAGGCATCCTCTGTACTTCGTCAGAAACCGGTCGTACAACTTCCAGGCGCGTGTTCTGGTCACTAAATTCTGCTTCATCGTTCTGTTCAGTTGCTTGGAGGCACGGAATGAACGGTGATCTGCTCGCAGACGAATCCTGCAGACAGTACTACGGCTTGCACCTTATTTTTTGGCGACATCCCAATCCGAGAGGCCTGGGTTTCTCTTGATCGACCTCAACATCTTCCCGTTCAGCTGCTGACCCAAAGTTCCAGCACGACGTTTTCTTTGGACCTTTCAGGCCTCACTCTTGCGATAGCGGAACCGGCAAATTTTCAACTTGTCCGCGATGTTTCGAATTGACCACGTCGGGCTTTCGACATGGGTGTGCAGGATCAATTTTCTTTTCTCGTCTTCTATCTAGTACAACTTCAATCCTTTAAATTTGTCGAACCTCTTAACGGAATCCCTTTATGAAGAGCTTTGAGTGTGTTGGTTAATTTCCCTTAAATTCCGTTATAATTGCTTATCTTTTGACAGATAGGCGTATTTCGTCTACTACTTGAAGACTTCATCAGTGCCAAGTACTGAACACCACTTGGCGTTGAGTACTTGGCACTGATGAAGTCTGCAAGTAGTAGACGAAATACGAGTATCTGTCAAAAGATAAGCAATTATAACGGAATTTAAAGGAAATAAACCAACGCACTCAAAGCTCTTCATAGTACAACTTTTTTAATCGAGACGAAACTTTTCGACCACTAGTGGCACTGTTATAGAATAAATAAAGTGTCCGGATTCTAAGTGGAGCAGGCTTTATGTTCGTTAATAAAATCATTAAAATTTATTTTAAATTTGAGTTAGGCCTTTGGGCCAAAAACTGGAGAAATAGTGCTAAAACTGGCACACTGAGAGCGATATAAAAAACTAACGTGTTCAGATGCGTTGAAAAAAACTGCTGATTGACAAAATCCAATTTTTTTAATTTGTTCTGACCAGGCATGGAAAATCATTTACATTCATTTCATGCAATCATTTACATTCATTTGCCTCTAACTTTTTTCGTCAACAGTATTCCGCAAAATGATGTACAAAGCTTTTGTAGGTTTTGTTATTAGCTACAACTTTTGCCCATTACTCAAATCTGTATCTCTTATGCATCACGAATTAGAACGGGCAGAAGTAGTTACTGTTTTTCAGTGAATGTAAAATACATTCACTGAAAAACAGTAGTGGCTTCTGTTCGCTCTGGTTCGTCATACATAAGAGATACGGATTTGAGTTGCTAACAAAAGTTGTAGCTAATAATAAAACCTACTAAAATTCCATAGACTATTTTGCGGAATTCTGTTGATGAAAAAAGTTAGGTGCAAATGAATGTAAATGAATGCACGAAATGAATGCAAATGATTTTCCATGCCTGGTTCTGACCCACTGTCGAAACGTAACATTTAATGTTCGATTCTGGTCTCTATTATGGTGTATGTATAATCCACTACAAACCATAACAAAGATTGTCTTATAAGACTACTTCCATGCCAACTGACGAATTGATTAGGCTCGACCTTCTCCGATTTTCATGAAACTTTGGAATATTTGCTCGTATGTTGTAACTCTACTGTCTGTATCCCGGTAAAAAGGCTCAGTAGCAAGAAACCTCTCGAGCTGTGTCTCAAGGTCGGCTTACTACTGGGTAATCTGGAGGGGCTTCGCGATCTTAACGTGCAGTACTGTCACCTGACTAAAAGCTATGGAAAGTTTAAATGACACAGTAATCAAAGGGTGTATACTATTATTTATTAATAAAAACTATAGCAGGTGTGGATTGGATTTCTAATAGTTCTATTGAATTTTATGGATGTACAGTGGGTTTTTGGGGGTTTGACGTACCGGTACTGAACTGCTGCCGTTGATTCTGCTCTGCCGAAGACTACTCTGCCGATGTGCGAGCGCTCGCCGATGATCCTACGTACGACGAGCTTGACGTCGGGCGAATCAAGCCTGACAGGGTGGTGATGT